TGAAAGAAAAAGCTTTCAGAAACGTCACTTAAAAGCACATAAATTATAAATGCACAACTGGTTTTACGAATTAAATGCATACCATTGAACTACATACATATTTGTTTAAAAAAAGTAATAAATTTCCCCAATGAGCCTGTTTATACCAAACAAATAATAATAATCGTTTTAATGGAAATTTATGATATAGAATTGCACACTATGAGCAAACCGGATAAAAAATCTCATATCTCTCACTCTCACGTAAAATGGAATAAGTTTCGTTTTACAGAGGATGAAATTCTCTACACAACGACAGTAGTTCGCTGCGGCTAATCACCTTCGCGTAAAATTGTTATTGTGTGGATACATGGCGTATGAGTAACATTATTTCCAGTTCATATTTCAGAAAAAAAAATATTATGAAGCCCCATTACGGCTTCAGTCGCACAACGGTAATAGTGGGTTTTAATTATGGAATCTTTAGGGTTACAAAAGATAATTTAAGTAGCAGTGCAGCTCTTGGCATTAGGAAATCACCATCTTCTTGAAACAGTGAAATCGATGAAGATGTCTGATGAGCAGATATGGTGATCTCCGAAATGGCAGTTATATCTTCTACCTTTTTACTACCGTTTGTGAATTACAACACTCAACAAATTTTCAGCTTTTGATTTTATCTGAGAAAAGGTTAGCTATATATTTTTAATCGATTTTGAATCGCTGACTTCGAACCTAAACTCAGAATTGCTCTGTCATGCCAGATTTTTAAAAATTCCCGTTTTCGAGGTAACTTAGCATAGCGAAATTTTTTGTACTAAAGGGTGGGTCCAATAAGACCTACCAATTTTCAACATAAATAACTTTTTTTATAATTTTTTAATACCACTGTATTTTCTCTTTGAAGGTTGAAATGAAATGCTTGGAAATTCTGAATGGATACAACAATGCCATCTATCCCAACTCGTCATCGTTCCGGCCAGTTGGACATTGCCAGAACAACACTGCGGGAATTTTGAAATTGGTCCTTAAGATGCTCCCGTACAAAATTCAAATGGTGCAAGCACTGCTACCGCAAGACCACGAAAAACGTGAAAATTTTAGGGAACGTTTGATTTCATAAAAATCAGATTTCCCTTAGCCCCCTCGTTCACCAGATTTAACTGCCCTCGACTTTTTTATGAGGATATTTAATGAATAATGTTAGTTAATGAACCAGAGACAGCTGAGGCAGAATATTCGAGGTGAAATACGAAGCCTGCAACTAGAAACATTACGTGGTATAATGGAAAACGCGCTAAAAAGAGCTAATGTCTGGTATCGAGCAAAATGGTGGGCATTTTTATACCCGAGCGCACTTGTGCACAAGGGTATTATAACTTTGTTCACATAACGGTTGTTTGTAACAGGCAAAACGAATCGAGATAGATATAGACAAATGTATACATAAATGATCAGAATGAAAAGAGAAATCGATTAAGCGGTGACTGTCTGTCCGTCCGTC